AGCCAGCTAGTCTTTATATTTAAAGTTTAGCCAACGTGGATCTAGTTGCTTGCTAACCAGGTAGAACAGTTGAACTGTTATGAATACACCCTCCTGTCCATCTCCAACTGTTTGAACAACAGCCTGTTCACTTTGTTTAAATGTTGAAATCAAGTGGACTGCCTGCATAGGAAGATGCTTATTTCTCAGAAAAAGAAAGAGTTGCCAATTCCTTATACAAATGCATATTTTTATGCTCGTTGCACATTTATAAAGCACAGACTAGACAGCTAGCACATAAGTATGTGGCAAAAATGCTGCTAGCGGTATATGGTACCGCATAGTTGCACCGCAATGAAACTCCCGTTTTAGTAGGGTCTGTTCTGTTCTACATTTTGGGAGTTGAGACATAAAATGGGTATCGTTACAAAGGTTAAGTTCTCCTCTATTACAGTAAAATAATGTTTCAGTGTGTTTCGGTGCCCATATGACCCATTATGTCGGACCAACCCTCAAATGCAAAAAGCGAGTTGAAACTGCTTGTTGTCAGTGGGGATGAAGTGTTCTTTCCTCTCTGTTGTTGTGAGTGGCAGGGGGGGCCGGGGGGCCGGGGAGGGGCTTGGTGTTTGTGTGCGAGTGCGAGTGGGAAAGTGCATAGTGCACAGCACAGAAGGAGCTATGGAGACGACACCAAAAATACAATAAAAACCTCGATTCTTGCGGTAAAGGCATTTTGAACATCGTGCTAAAACATAAATTCTAATTAATCAAATTAATTCGATATATCGCCCAGCCCTACACAAGTCTTGTGGTCCTCTGTAGCTCAGCTGGTAGAGCACGGCGCTTGTAACGCCAAGGTAGTGGGTTCGATCCCCGGGACCACCCATACACACACAAAAAAAAGAATGTATGCACGCATGACTGTAAGTCGCTTTGGATAAAAGCGTCTGCTAAATGGCATATTATATTATTATTATTAAGTCAGAAACTGTTCTCACTGCTACCGCATGGCAAGCAGTACCGATGCACCAAGTCTGGAACCATTGCAGCCTGACCAACAGGACCCTGAACAGCTTCTACCCCAAAGCCATAAGACTGCTAAATTGTTCTTTAAATAGTTAACCAATAGCTACCCACACTATCTGCATTTACCCTTTTTGCACTAACTATTTTGACTCATCACATTAGCTGCTGTTGCTGTTATTGTTATATATTATATATATTATATTGTCTGTCCAGTTGCCAAGTCACTTTATCCCTTCCTATATGTATAGTGCCCCTTGACTTATTCCACATTTTGTTGTGTTATAGCCTGTATTCAAAATGGATTAAATATATTTTTTGGTCTCACCCATCTACACACAATACCCCATAATACCAAACATGTTTTTAGACATCTTTTGATTTTTTCCTCAAAATGAAATAGATATCTCATTTAATTAAGTATTCACACTCCTGGGTCAAAACATATAGTCCCCTGTAGCTCAGTTGGTAGAGTATGGCGCTTGCAACGCCAGGGTTGTGGGTTCATTTCCCACGGGAGGCCAGTATGAAAATGAAAATGTATGCACTCACTAACTGTAAGTCGCTCTGGATAAGAGCGTCTGCTAAATGACTAAAATGTATGTGAGAATCACCTTTGGCAGCGATTACAGCTGTGAGTCTTTCTGGGTAAGTCTCTAAGAGCTTTGCATACCAGGATTGTACAATATTTGCACATTATTATTTTTTAAATTCTTCAAGCTTTGTCAAGTTGGTTGTTGATCACAGCCATTTTCAAGTCTTGCCATAGATTTTCAAGCCAATTTATGTCAAAACTGTAACTAGGCCACTCAGGAACATTCAACGTCATCTTGGTAATCCACTCCAGTGTACATTTGGCTGTGTGTTTTAGGTTATTGTCCTGCTGAAAGGTGAATTTGTCCCCCAGTGTCTGTTGGAAAGAAGACTCAACCAGGTTTTCCTCTAGGATTTTGCCTGTGCTTAGCTCTATTCCATTAATTTTTATCCTAAAAAACAAAAATCCCTATTCCTTGCCGATGACAAGCATACCCATAACATGATGCAGCCACCACCATGCTTGAAAATATGAAAAGTGGTACTCAGTGATGTGTTGTGTTGGATTTTTCCCAAACATAATGCTTTGTATTCAGTTTTACTTTAGTGCCTTGTTGCAAACAGGATGCATGTTTTGGAATATTTGTATTCTGTACAGGCTTCCTTATTTTCACTCTGTCATTTAGGTTAGTATTGTGGATTAACTCCAATGTTGTTGATCCATCCTCAGTTTTCTCCTATCACGGCCATTAAACTCTGTAACTGTTTTAAAGTCACCGTTGGCCTCATGGTGAAATCCCTGAGCGGTTTTCTTCCTCTCCGGCAACTGAGTTAGGAAGGACACCTGTATGAAATCACTACTAGTGACTGGGTGTATTGCTACAACATCCACAGTGTAATTAATAACTTCACCATGCTCAAAGGGATATTCAATGTCTGCTTTTTTATTTTTTACACATCTACCAATAGGTACTCTTCTTTGCGAGGCATTTGAAAACCTCCCTGGTCTTTGTGGTCGAATCTATGTTTGAAATTCACTGCTCGACTGAGGGACCTTACAGATAATTGTATGTGTGGGGTACAGAGATAAGGTAGTCATTAAAAAATCATGTTAAAGACTATTATTGCACACAGAGTCCATGCAACTTATTATATGACTTGTTAAGCACATTTTTACTCTTTAACTTATTTAGACTTGCCATAACAAAGGGGTTTAATACTTATTGACTCAAGACATTTCAGCTTTGTATTTTTTATTAATTTGTAAAAATGTCTTAAAACATAATTCCATTTTGACATTATGGGGTTGACACAGAATCTCAATTTAATCAATTAGAAATTCAGGATGTAACACAACAAAATGTGGAAAAAGTAAAGTGGTGTGAATAGGGCCTACTTTCTGAAGGCACTCTACATATCTACAGTACCTCAATTACCTCGTACCCCTGCACATTGTCTCGGCACTGGTACCCCGTGTATATAGCCAAGTTATTGTTACTCATTGCGTATTTATTCCTTGTGTTATTATTTGTCTAGTTTTCGAATATTATTTTTTTCTCTCTGCGTTGTTGGGAAAGGCCTGTAAGTAAGAATTTCACTGTTAGTCTACACCTGTTGATTACGAAGCATGTGACAAATAACATTTGATTTGATTGATTTGACTTACTATCGCATAATTATAATGACTTAGTATTGCACTATTATGACTTACTATCTCATAATTATTACTTTATATCTCATAAATATGACTTACTATCTTATAATTATGACTTACAATCTCATTATTATGACTTACTATCTCATTATTATCACTATTTCATAATAATGACTTACTTTCTCACAATAATACCTTAGTATCTCATAATTATGACTTACTATCTCATAATTATGACTTACTATCTCATAACTATGACTTACTATCTCACAATAATAACTTAGTGTCTCATAATTATGACGTAGTATTCCATTGTTATGACTTACATATCTCATAATTATGACTTACTATCTCATAATTATGACTTACTATCTCATAATTATGACTTAGTATCTCATAACTCCTAGTCAGATGACAGAAACAAGCTTCCATAGGGTTCCACTTATTTAAAGATCTTATTGTTTTCTAGGTGTGCTCTTGACTAGAAAGAATATTACCTAGATAAATGACTGTTCCTTGTTTAACTTCCTCAATGGCACCAGATTGCTCTAATTTATGATGTGATTAGCTGATATGTAAAATACCTATCCAGGCGTTGTAAGATCTGGCATACCTCAGCAATGTCTGAGCAGGGGAACACAACCTAATAAGTGTTGAGGGAGGATCGTGTCAAATAGGCTAGCATTTGTTTCACTAAAAATATATGTGAGTCAATGAGGCCATAGATGGCACCAGTGAACCGTTGTAACACTGGTGACACTTCTTACAATGACACTGTCAATATAGTAGCCTATGTCGAAATAACTGTCACCAAACATTTTAACATCTGTTTAAACTGGGTTCTCTAATGTCAAGTTCCAACGCATAGGCGTTGGCTATATGATCCATGGCATAACATATGCTTAGATTTTAAATGTATCCCGAACGTTACATGAAAAGGTAGAGTGCGGCTTTTGATCTGAAAACATCCGTGTAAAGTACTTGCTATCTTGCACACTAATTACAATACATACATTGAACGTTTAATATCTGCCCAATCTCATGCAATAATGGTTATAATATCGTAAACGGTTTGTTTTATTTTTCTCATGCCCACTTGCTAGGCAAGGCTGTCTTTCGCAAGCGCAAATTCATTACGTCACAGCGCGTCCTCTGCCTGCAGCCACTGCGTTCGCGCCCCCGAGTGTTCCTCGCGTCCGCCTGCGCCTAGCTAGCTAGGTATTCACCTCGAGACAGAGCGTGGAGTTTTGTGGAGTAGTGACAAGAAAATGGCGGAGTGAGTGGGTTGCGCTTTGAAGGAAAGCAGCGACCCTAGGTTTCCGTAAAATATAATACGAACAAAGGAGAATCACATAAAAAAATAACTTTCATCGGAAATTTGACAAACAACAACAACATTGCCCCTCTCGCGGAGGTGGTTCAAACAGATTATCGAACGGGGCTTCGCAGGACCACTGGTGTCATTTCGATACCTCGACGCTAGCTGGCTAGCGACGAGGCACTGGGCGACGGATAAACAAGGCACATTAGAAGTGTTTTCAGACGAATTATTTGGCCATTTTCGTGATATGTTGGGTTTATTTTTGTCAATATTTTTTAACTAGCTAGCTAGTGAATAACGCATGAAAAGAAACAAAGTCTGTTCTAGCTCGCTAACATTACATTGTTTCAAGTACATAGCACACGACCAACCAGGACTGTATGTTCACGTTAATGTTCTGATAACGAGCTGGCCAAGTAGGGGAACCGACGGAGTAGTCCCAGAGAATACTATTTTAAACTGATTGGGGTTGCTCGTGATTTTGAGGATATGGCAAGCAGCAGCGGCTCAAAAGCCGAATTCATTGTCGGTGGAAAATACAAACTTGTCAGAAAAATTGGATCTGGATCATTTGGTGACATATACCTGGCGATCAACATCACAAATGGAGAGGTAATAAACATTAAACTAGTGGGTAACTAACTGTTCGCTGTGTTAATCAACAGCCAAGCCGACTCGCCGAGATTGAACAGAAGATTGCTTAGTTAGCCTTCCTAACGTTAGCTAGCTAGCTGAAATGTTGGCCAACGATGCTCAATGAATACCTAGCTAACTGTCATCAAAGATAATTGTCGACATTGACCACTATAAAAAGTGTAACGAACTACATAACGTTATTTTCTTATACATAAAACGTTTGTTGTACCTAGTTAGTAAATTACGATTGAATTGATGTATCTTAAACTAAAGTTAACGTTAATAACATCAAGCTGCCTAGCTAACGTGGCTAGTTTAAAGTAGGTAACTAACTACGTAGACTACTACGTTAGCTAACTTACTGATCATTTTGTTTTACAGGAGGTAGCTGTAAAATTGGAATCTCAGAAAGCCAGACACCCACAGTTGTTATATGAAAGCAAGCTGTACAAAATATTACAAGGAGGAGTTGGAATCCCACACATACGGTAATATACATTTTCATTATTTTGGACACAGTTTAATATCGGAGACGTATGTGGAAAGGAGAGAAGTCATAGCTAATTGTACAATGTATGTACACAGTTACATGTCCTATGCAAATATGTCTGGTTTACTTCCACATGCCATCTGTAGCTGGGAAGCTAGTTAGCTGGCATTAGTTAGCTTTAATCGCCTTGGCTTCATGATTTTCCTTGGTCTTTGCTTATGAAAACGTTCCACATACATTCCCTTTTAACGTTAATATTATTCGAAAGACCAATCCTTCATGAGCCATGTAGATTTTCATCAAATGTGTTCATTGTTCTAGTTTTAACATGCAAAAAAATCACCAGGCCACGAAAAAAATCGGTGTGCTGGAAATGGCCGCTCCTCTTTTGTTGTTTGTTCCAACATGTCTTCCTTCCCTGTTAGAAAATGGCGGCTCAGCACTAGCGAAAACAACTAGCTATCTGGGCCTAGTGGATTTGTCTCTCAAGGTGACTTCAACGCTAATGTGGGACCTTATATATATCTCGTCAAACACCTAAAATTAGTTTATTTTAGATTTTATGGGTTACAAGGCAATATGAAGAGTAGGACTTGGGTAATGGCTTAGTTCACTGACACATTGGTGGAATTTATAATCCATGGATGTGCACGTTTAAAACAACTGGTCATAATTACCCATTTGACATATCATTTATCGATATTATCCATTCAGTGATAAACAATTGTTTTTGGTTTGATTGTAAATCATACATGTGAATTTAGGGTGTTGTGACAAAATACACCACTTGTTTGCATTTGACTTGGAAAAGGGACATAAGGATACTAAAGCAATCAAAGATGATAGGATGAATTTGAATGCCCGTGAGGTGAAAATTATTGGACACAGTAATGCTGGATACAAAATAGCCACTATACATTACACATTCAGCATAATACATACATTGCACGTTACCCAAAATACACATTGTGCACTTCTCATATAGCCACATACATAAACATATTGCACATTTCCCCTATATTCAGTCAATAGAGTACTGAATGTAAGGGAAGTGTGCAATAGGTATGTGGCTAGAACACTTGAAAAAGAAAAGGAGAGCCACACACTAGCTCAGATGCAATAATGCCCCTTGCCTGTTTTTAAGACTCTGATCGACAACACTGTTTGTGATAGCTGCAGTTGTTTCTAATCTTCAATTCTATCTGTAACTTGTGACACTGTCTTTTTAGTATATTTAGTTTTTTTCTGTAATATTTTATGTACACGCTGCTATTTCCATGTTTTGCCGCCTTGCCAAGTCACCCTCGCAAAATAGGTTTTTAACCTCAATGGGTCTTGCCTGGTTAAAAATAAGAATTTTATAACCAGCGTTACAACAGACAAGCTTCCTTCATCAGGGTATAATGACAAACACTGTGGGTCACTAGTTTATATAGTTTCAAAGGACACACAGGTGTCTGTTAACATGGCCAGGTGTGGCTTGATTTCATTGGTTAATTTACAGATATAAATAGAACATATAAAAAGCATGAATGGATAACATACGATCATAGACACAATATATGAGATTGTGAACAAAGCTAGAATCGGGTTAAAGTTTTGTTCCTATTTGTTTCAGGGAGGGCACAGTCAATTCTATTTAGGCCTAATGGTGAATAGTTCATGCCCCGATTAAGCTGGGCTGTTGCCGTGGATGAGGGTCAGGGTGATCATCAGGCTCTGGTACTTAGAATGACTTAATAGAAAGATAGGACTACTAGCCCCGCCATGACCCTTCTGGATCACTTCATCCTCACCTTCTAACAAGGCCTATTTACAGTGCCTTCGGAAATTATTCAGACCCCTTGACTCATTCCACATTTTGTTACATTACAGCCTTATTCTAAAATGGATTAAATAAATAAAAATTCTCAGCAATTTACACGCAATACCCCATAATGACAAAGCAAAAACTGAAATACCTTATTTACATAAGTATTCGGACCCTTTGCTATGAGACTCGAAATTGAGCTCCGGTGCATCCTGTTTCCATTGATCATCCTTAGATGTTTCTACAACTTGGTTGGAGTCCACCTGTGGTCAATTCAGTTGATTGGACATGATTTGGAAAGGCACACACCTGTCTATATAACGTCCCACAGTTGACAGTGCATGTCAGAGCAAAAACCAAGCCATGAGGTCGAAGGAATTGTCTGTAGAGCTCTGAGACAGGATTGTGTCGAGGTACAGATCTGGGGAAAGGTACCAAAAAATGTCTGCAGCATTGAAGGTCCCTAAGAACACAGTGGCCTCCCCATCATTCTTACATGGAAGAAGTTTTCTTCCTAGAGCTGTCCTATGGTGGTGGCAGCATCATACTGTGGGGATTTTTTTCAGGGGCATGGACTAGGAGTAGTCAGGATCGGAGCAAAGTACAGAGAGATCCTTGATGAAAACCTGCTCCAGAGCGCTCAGACTTGGGCAAATGTTAATCTTCCAACAGGACAAGCCCTAAGCACACAGACAAGATAACGCAGGAGTGGTTTCGGGACAAGTCTCTGAATGTCAGAGCTCAGCCAGAGCCCCAACTTGAACCCGATCGAACATCTGAAAATAGCTGTGCAGCAACGCTCCCCATCTAACCTGACAGAGCTTGAGAGGATCTGCAGAGAGGAATGGGAGAAACTCCCCAAATACAGGTGTGCCAAGCTTGTAGCGTCATACCCAAGAAGACTTGAGGCTGTAATCGCTGCAAAGGTGCTTCAACAAAGTATTGAGTAAAGGGTCTGAATACTTAGGTAAATGTGATATTTCTGTTTTTTATTTAACAAATGTGCAAAAAATTCTAAAAACATGTTTTTGCTTTGTCATTATGGGGTATTGTGTGTAGATTAATGAGGATAAAAACAATTTAATCAATTTTTGAATATGGCTGTAAAGTAACAAAATGTGGAAAAAGTCAAGGGGTCTGAATACTTTCCGAATGCACTGTATACATTGTTGAATATTATGCACTACCCAATTAGAAACGTTTAGACTAGAAATGTTGGGCGTGCCACCATTTTATCTGCTAGTCTCCAGGTTCCTGCCCTGGGTATTAACAAGTCAGTGGGCTAGTTTCACAGCTTACTTCCATGCTTATACAATTTAATACAAGCCTTTGTTGGCAGGCAAGGTTTGCATTGAGCTTTGTGGTTGTGCACCCTGTGCACTGCCTGGATAAATAAGAATGGGGGTTGTAGAATAGAGTGTTTCACGCTCCCTCTATACTCTCATAGCCGGTTGTTTGTTTTCAGGTACATCATCAGCATGTGGCTGGTGCACCTGTTTAGTCCTGAGCTTGGGAACCTTTCTGTTATTCAACTCACCTGACAGTTCTGGAATGATATTTTATTTTCACAACGAGAGTTGGAAGGTTAAATCTGGAAAGTTCTCCAATGCTTTTCCCCCTCTCTTATTTTCATCACGTTTAATCAGACCTACTTATACCCATTTCAGACAGAATATGTGGTATGTTACCTGTAAACAATATAAGGCCAAGTTTATATGACCCCCTTTCAAACAGCCCCTTATTTAGCTTATTTACTTATTTGCAGGTATCCATACTCCTTTTATACATATCAGTGGGTAACTGGGAAATTGGGGGCGGGGGTGTTGGTTAACCATGAGGGCTGTTTGCATTTACAATTAGGGAGGCGTTAAACAATGCAAGTGTTCAATGAATTTACCTGCTAAAAAGCAGAGAACCATTCACACAGACCCAATACTTGTATTTTGGTTACAGGGTCTGTGAAAATGCAGGAATCATGACTAGGTCTTTAGGTGGCTTTTATTTTCCCATGTTTTTTTACATTTACATTTAAGTCATTTAGCAGACGCTCTTATCCAGAGCGACTTACAGTTAGTGAGTGCATACAAATTATTTTTATTTTGTCATACTGGCCCCCCGTGGGAATCGAACCCCTTTACCCCTTTCAGATATTTGAAAAAGCTGCTATAAAAATGCAGGCATGGTAAATTAGTGTGATTTTGGTCTGTAGATGAAAGGGATAAAGACTAGAGCCTGTGGTTAAAAACCTAAGTGCAAACATTCTGGAAAGCTGGCGCCATTTAATTGACTGAAGGGTTGTAGAGCAAAGTTATTGAGATGAAAATAATTCCATTATATTACCTGCGTAGGCAACTTGTGCAAACATTTGTACATTTTTAGTCATTTAGCAGATGCTATTATCCAGAGCGACTTACAGGAGCAATTAGGTGTAAGTGCCTTGCTCAAGGACACAACGCTCTTAACCTCTAGGCTACCTGCTGCCCCAGGTAGCCTAACTTTCTCTTTAGTAAAGAAGACCATCATCAACAGATGAAGTCCACTTGAAACGTAGCCAAATGGCGGCTGTGTGCTGGTATATTCAAACTAAGACGATGCTTGTGGACCAAGGCATGGTGGCTTACTGGTAACCTAAACTCTAGAGCTGCATTCTGTTACTTAGCTACATACCGTGTACAAATAAGACCCGTTTTGTGTTGGGTAACTCTAGTCATGGATATGCCCAGCCATTGGCTGTTTGTAGGTAAGGAGGGGGTTGGGGTTTTCTAATTTGCACAACTGAAAGCTGTGGTGATCAGCTGATACCTCTAGCAGAGACTGGGTGTTACCCAGGCAGGTGACTTCTTCTCTTGGGGACCTCAAAGGGCTAAAGGCCTTTTCAGAATTCTTGGTACGTGTGTGAATTGTACATGAATGTGCAGGCTTTAAAGGCTCAGTGGGTAGTGTCAGGCACTGCTTTTGAATTGAGATGTTTTAGAATGTTTGTTTGGGAATGTTACTGTAGGAACTAGCTGAGAGATTGAAAGAACTCATGGAACTTTGTCAAAGCCAGAAGAACCTGCTGAACAAGGCGCGCCCCTCCCCCACACTCTGCCTGTTGCAATTGTATGGCTGTGTTTTAATGCGGTGTTCACGTCATGTTGGAAACTCTGACATTTCCAACTTGCTTACTAGTTGTACAAAGATTATACCTGAGTTTCCCATTTGGGAAGTATCAGAATCAACCAATAGGAAGCCCTACGCAAATAACTTACGTTCATTTTAACTTGGAGGTCCCTTGTTTCCGACATGACGTGAACGCGGCATAATCAAAGGGAAGTCTTGTGCTTATGCATTCTCTCTTGGGTCCATTGAGATTATGAAACTCTGCTCTTTTTTGAATTACACCTTTAAAAAAATGCCAGGCCTATCGGTTAATGACTTGTTTCTTTCCTTAATTTAGTTTCCTTTGTAGTTACATGTTGGATTGTCTCTAAAGCAGCCTGGGTTTACACTGATATTATGCCAATAAAGAGGAAATGAGTGTCTCACAAAGAGGCCTGTAGTTTCCTGTAATGTTTGCCTGAGCAGACAGTTTTAATGCACAGTATTCAATTGGTGGATTCCTTATTGTGCTTGGACTGTAATTGATTGTAGTTTTAACATGTAGCCTAGATGGCATATACAGTTATGGACAAATATAGTGGCACCCTGGCACTTTTCTTAAATAGTTCCCTATTTATAAAAAAAAATTGGTCACCACACCTTTTCAACATTGCATAACCAATAATTTTTTTGTGAACTTAAGTTTACAATTTTAATTTAGAAAATAAAGACATGGCTTGGACAAAATAATTGGCCGCCTGGAGCTAGTACTTGGTTGCACGGCCTTTGGCCAAGATAACTGCAGACAAACTCTTCTTATAGCCATCAATGAGCTTGCTGCACCTTTCTACTGGCAATTTTGCCCACTCTTCAACAGCAAACTGCTCTAATTCTTCAATGTTGTAGGGGTGCCCTCCACCAACTGCTGTTTTCAGGTCTCGCCATAGGTTTGGGATGTGATTCAGATCTGGCCACTCCAGAACAGTCCAGCATCTCTTCTTGAACCATTCCTGGGTGCTTTTTGATGTGTGTTTGGGGTTGTTGTCCTGCTGGAAGACTCACAACCTTCAATAAAGACCCAGTTTTTAGACACTGGGTTGAACATTGAACGTTATCAAACCTCCCCGATCTTTGATTGTAGGGAAGGTGTTCTTTTAATTGAATACTTCATTTGGTCGTCAGTAAACACAGCGCTGATCTGTATTGCCAAAGAGCTCTTATTTACCAAGTAGCTACGGGGTGCCAATTTTCTCCATGCCATTTGTCTTAAGTTTAACAGTTTAATTTAGAAAATAAAGATTACAAAAGTAAAATTGGTTCTGCAATGTTGAAAATCCAATTACAAGGTGTGGTGACCGAACGTTTATTTTATTTCAGCTTATTTTAGAAATATGGAACTATTTAAGAAAAGTGCAAGGGTGCCAATATATGGATTAGTCTACTGAGACCGGAGTGAATCAGACAGGTGTCTCGTGTGCCATACATTTTAAATTTTATTTGCCACTGCTTGACTAAAACAATCTTGGTCGACCAACAGCCTATCGACCAAACAATCGAGAGCTTTGCGTAGGCATACCAAATTCTACCACAACTTTTTGGCTGCCACATGTTGGCTGTTACACCTGTGCTTGTGAGGCTGTGTCCTGGGGGTGTGTAAGCTTGTAGAAATGCAGAGTTTGGAACTGTTTGCTTAGTTCAAAGTGCATTTTCTTTGCTGCCATCATGGGCGGTCTTGTGAAATGGTGCTATTGACTAACAACACCCGTAGCTAATTCCGTAAACAAGATCTGTCAGAGTAGCAGAATGGCTGTGTGGACTCTTGCAGTACATCGTTCCCCTACAATACCTCTTTGTTTAGTGAAATCTTGGACAAGATGGTTGCCTGGCGACTGCTGGCCTGGCAGTGTACTGAAGAGGTGTTGGGAGTCTCTTTGACCTCTAATGGCAGAGCTGTGAGGATTAGACTGACTCTCTAACTAAGGGCTCTCTAACCCTGTTCCTGGAGAGCTACCCTCCTGTAGGTTTTTGCTCCAACCCCAGTTGTAACTAACCTGATTTGGCTTATCAACCAGCTAATTATTAGAATCAGGTGCGCTAGATTGGGGTTGGAGTGAGAACCTACAGGACGGTTGCTCTCCAGGAACAGGGTTGAAGAGCCCTGCTTTAACTATTGTCAGGCCAGCCTAAAAAACAAAGCATCTCTGTTAATGATAGATGAGGCCTCCCTTTATAACTTGCTAGAGTCCCAGGGGTTTGGATGGAGTTATGATGACCCCCGTGCTCTTTAACCAGAGAATGCTGCTCATCTGTGAGTAGAGACATGTTTCTGGAACAACAGGGTTTGACCAAATCACCAAAGTCCACCCTCCGCATACGTTTTTGCCTCTGGTATTGAAATATGAGCTTTGACCACACAACTGTTGCATTACTGGTTATGTTACATAGGCCTAATAAATTACAATGCAATTGCTATGCAAAGTTTGACATAAGAAAACACTGTCATACATAACATTTGTTATGGGTTAATATGAATATTGATGTATGGCATGGCTGGTGCTGTCTTGCAGGTGGTATGGCCAAGAAAAGGACTACAATGTCCTAGTGATGGACCTGCTGGGACCCAGTCTGGAAGACCTCTTCAACTTCTGCTCGCGCAGGTTCACCATGAAAACTGTACTAATGCTCGCAGACCAGGTAAGACTCGGTTTAATCAATGCTCTTTATCGTGCACTTTGGCCCTTTGCTTAACTTCGTCTGGTTACAAAAAAATAAAGATTAAGATTAACACTTAACATATTAATTCTGTATTTGCCAAAGGGAGAATATTACTTGTACATTTCTCATTCTTATGAAACGTTTGAAAATGGGCTTAGAAGACCACCAGTCTATTTTCAAGTTCTTGCGTTAACTGATTGAGAGCCATTTTCCCCACAGATGATCAGCAGAATCGAGTATGTGCATACAAAGAACTTCATTCACAGAGATATCAAGCCAGACAACTTTTTAATGGGTATTGGCCGTCACTGTAACAAGGTAAGCTTTCAGCAGTTTCCCCCTCCTGAGATGCAGTAAGTGGAGTGAATCTCTGACCTAGTTTCGCTTTTGTTTTATACACCATTGTGTGAAGTGATACAACTAGCCCATATTATTGATAGAATTATCTTGTTTTTATACATTTTGGTGGTTTCATGTATTTTTTTGTGGAAAATATTGATGATCTAATCCTCAGTGAGGCAAATCTGATTATTTTCTTTGAATAGGCTACATGTTCTGGTAATGGACATTTTCAAGGCTAATTGTTTGTGGTTGGTCTAGTCCACTTGTTATGTGGATGGAATTGTTTTGTTAAAGTCACATTTAGGTACTTTTACAATCAGGTAATACAGGCCCTCGTTGTTTTCTTAGACAGCATCATAGTTGTGGATCTGTTTGAGATCTTATACAGGACTACAAAAAGGTTTCTGCATGATGTGTAATCCCATTCATTCTTTCCCCTTTGCAGAAAATAATTTTAAGGCGTTTTGTGATTCTTTTTTCATATACAAACTGTATCTCAAGTTGCCTGATTTGTATTTTGTTTTTAAATAACTCACTATTTTGAGCCCTTGCAGACAGGCAACATTTGGCAAAGTTAAAGCATGATGCGTGTTTTAACACGGACCTGTCCACACCAGCTGTGGCTGTCGATAGTGTTACGTGATATAAACTCATCAGACTAGTCTAATCAAAACGAAACGGTACCTTTTGGGTATTCAAGCATTGAAGCCTGTATTACCATTTTTGGCAGTGCTGTCTGGAATAAGTGTTTACCATTGTGTGTCTGTGTGAATGCCAGCCGTAAGCTTATATAATTTTTACATACACAAACTAAACTCGAACAAAATTATAAAGGGTGCACATACAATCCTTTTTGGATGGCAAGTTCTGACACTGAACTCAATGGACGGGAAGACTGGCATAGCAGTAGCTTTTGCGAACCCCACTCTATCCTCTTCATGTTTAAATCAACTGCCTTTCTCTTAACCTGAACTCCCTGCATTCTGCTTCCTATCTGCTGTTTACAATGGTGCTTATATACCCCTTAGCTTGTGCCCAATAGGGTGGTTGCCTTTAATTCAGGAAGTGTGTTTCTGAAGTAGTCTTCATTTGGACATGGCTCCATTGGTGAAAATAAAACTCTAGCGAAGAGCAATCGTTAAACCTTAACCTTAATCCCCCCCCTCTTTAATAGATTGCATGTGTACACTGCACCAACACTAGCTTCTTCTTCTCTATGGTTTGGAGAGTGATACTCCGCTTCTTTTGTTGCTTTGTCCTGGGCTGCTCTATAGAAATCCTCTAATCAAGAGCCACTGTCACAAAGGCTGTCCTGTCACGCGTTTCTCGCAGCTGTACTAAATCTACTCTGTATTGACGGCTCCATGCAGATTAATTCATGCTTCTTTCTTGTACTGCACGCTTTTCCTCTGTTTGGCGCTGTAGAGCTGCTAATTGCCAGATTGGGCTTTTCCAAAGTCTGCCAAAGTATTCTACCCTCTTCCTTACTGAAGGTGTCTACTGTTTCAAAGCAGTTTCAGGATAATAATAAAAAAAATATATATATATATATATATTATATGTATTTGACTCATTGCTTCCTGTGAGATCTCAAGGAGGTGGTGGGTTGGGTGGCTGCATTTTCCAACGCTTTTTCACGCCTTATTGTTAAATGAATGCCCATATTAGGGAATGGCCTTCATTATTTAGATTCTCTTTTAACCCTAGTTGTGCCAGTAAGTCAACTGCATATTTTGTTCTGCACTCAGGCAGACTGTTGCTCCAAATTTGTAGGATGATTATGGTAGAAAGCAATTCTACTGTGTGCCACTGCTAGCGTTAAATGCTGCAATATCAAAAAGCCACTGCAAAGTCAAAAACGCGAAACAGGCTTGGAAATAATTGTATGGTTATTTTTTACCAAAAAAAATTACATGGGGATTGGGCAGTTATATTGTCTTCATTTCTGCCTCTATGACCGAAATTGGTATTGCAGCGTGGACTGCTTATCCTGCAGAACATCTCTCCCCGCCCCCATCGGCCTAGCCTAAAAACTGGCTTGCATCTAAGCCCAGGCTAACTCCTAGGATGTCCTACCACAGTCAGACTCCTCTCTGATTTTAGCTCATGCTTTGCTGGTGGACGAAGGATGGCCTTGGGCTTTCTCTCCCCCTTCTCCTCCCTCTCCTCCCGTTCTTTTTCTGAGCCTTGGTGTTGCCTGTCTGCGCTGGCCTTGTGGGGTTGTCAGCAATACTGTTTGATGCACTGCACCCTTTATTTGTTCAGTGTTTAGAATCTCCAGTGGGGAAGAGGAAAAGAAGCTTGGCTGTTAGTTCTTCTCAGGACCCATCTTTCTCAGGATTAAACCAGGTCTGAAACCACAACCGCCTCTTAATACTCCCCCAAATTCTGTTTGCTTTTTTCTTTTGGAGTTTATTTTACCCATTTAGAAACAGTACTACTTTTTTATTTCATTAATTTGGTCAATAATCTATGAACACCATATTGGCATTAAACCAGACACACATGCTAAACAGATCTAGAGATTAACACCTAATCCAGATTGCAGGGATCTGTGTTTAGGTGGATGAAGGACATATGGTGACTAGTAGTGGAAGATGCTGTTGAATTTTCTACAGTTTGATTTTTTAAAAAGAGGACGTGCTCCTCATTTGAAGTCGTCACTGCGCCCACTAGGCTAATTTATATTTTGTTGCTTTTCCATTTCCTTGGAGCTGTTTCTCTGGTTGAGTTTTCTGTGCCAGTTAAGCAGAGGATTATTTTCTCTTGGTTTCACAAATGATCATCTCCTTCTGGGTTTCAGGATACGTCAACACAGGAAAATGTCAGTCACTAACCCGTAACAGTAGTGTGTATATTTCAAGTGACCGTGTTGGCCAAAATGAGCCAACATTGAGTTGAGTGCAATTTTCTTAAATTCCTACAGATTTTCTGTCTGCTCAGCAGTACTGTAGCTATTTGGTTTACATGACCTGCATTGGCATTAGACTACAGAAGGGAAAACTGGGCCATGTGGCTATGAAAACCTTGCTGTGGTGATACTCTGTTGGAGAGCAACTGGCAATGTGGCAGCCATTGAGCTGGTCTGAACCAGCTTCCTGTTGCCAGAGACGGTGCTGCTGACATCACAGCCTGCCTGGCCCGGCTGACTGTTGGCAAGCAGCCAGTGGCATGATGAGCAGAAAAAAGGAATGTTTGGAAAATGTAGGGCCTGAATAGCCAGAATGGGGACCGGCACGGCAGACGGGTGGGGTTAGCTTATGCTTGCTCGCCGATTAGCAGACCTACAGTTCAACATTTTTCAGTTTCTGTTTTTCAAAGGGGAAGAGAACTTAACTGCTTGAACGCTAATTATTAGTATGGCTTTGCAACCAGAATCCTCAGTCTGAAAATCTTACTTCCGATGAAACATACTTTGACTTTAAAAGTATCTAGGTTTGGGCTACTTTGTTTCACAGGTTGGTTTGTTAGGGTGGGCCTGTGAAGTCAATATGGTTGCTTTTGAGATGGTTGTGAATGTTCAGGTAATGGTATGTTGTCGAAGAGTGTACTAAGAACCAACATTCAAAGAAATGCAGTGACTCGGCATGTTAGATTTTAAACCAACATGTAGCCTATTTTGAAAGTCATTGGCCTATTACATACAGGTCTGACTTTGAAGTATTTTTTACAAGGTAACTGATCCGCGATTCACAATTACTATTGTTATCTGTAACAGTGTATGTCAACGGTTCATCATTTCCTTGAATATTAGCAGATGGAAAAGAAAATGGGATGCTTTTGGTCAGAACAGGTCTGTCTTTTGTTGTGAAAATGGCCTGCCCACATTGGATAGGTTGTGTATTTGAACCACATTCTCAATTAGGCTACATTTCTACTGATGGTTCAAATGATGAAACTAGCTTTCAGCAATCCTTTGACTGTACGCATTGCTCATGCAAGTGCTATAATGGATGACTTATTTTCACATTTATGAAACTCATACTTACCATTACATAGTTCTTAAGGATCTAGACCTAGGTGAAGTCAAAATTTCAAATGTCTTACCAGATAGCAGTTTACTTCAAATTAACTCATCCTTGATTTTCTATTTCAGCTCTGCGGGTTTAGTGGAAGCTCCTCAAGCCCCTGCTTTTGTTCTGTGAACGCAGGAATATGCTGTTTAGGGTGGCCATTGGCCTTGCTACGTTGTGTATTTATACACTCTGAAATGTTTCATTCTGCCTGCAATGTTGCTATTGAACACCAGCTGAAGGTATCTCAGGATAGAAGAAAAAGGTGCAAGTTAATGAATAACGCGGAAAAGGGAATGTTAGTTAGTTTGCGGCAAGTGGACGGTTGCGTGTGGATCTGCCTTTCCTCCCGACCTGACTTTTCAGATAGAAGCGTCACAATGGAATGTTGCGATTGGCGTAGACAGGAGGAAATAAGGTGTGAATCCCCGGCTGAGCCAAGCAAGCAGAGGCACGGCTGAGTGGATCCGCCAGTCAGTCACTGCTGCATCAGTGAAAAACGTATGTTGGGCGAGGCACTCTCTCTTAGGGACTGCAACCTGCAATTGTGTGTGGGCAGTGGAGTGGAGAAGTATGGCAGGCAGTCAACAAATTAGATCATTCCGATCTGAGACAAGACTGAGACAAGACGGGGCTTTCAACAACCATAGAGAACTGTTAGCAGGCAGGGAGCTATTAGTGAATGAAAACCTTCTTGAGTTTGCTGCAGAGAATCCATTTGCCTCTGTCTCTGACCCCTGGGTGTTCCCTGATCCTGCCATCACATGGCCAGAACTGTTTGTATAGATAGCAAGCAGGGGCCTTGAGGATGGCTGCTTCACTAGTGAAATGGTACACGGAGCAGAGCAGGACATTGGAAGAATAGACCCATGATCTCAAGCAGTGGCATTTTGTCAATCGTTCCCTGTGAATCAGGATATTTCTAAAATGTCAATGTTTGTTTATCTTTTCCCCCCTCCTTTCAGTTGTTCCTCATCGACTTTGGTCTGGCCAAAAAATACCGGGACAACAGGACACGACAGCACATACCGTACCGAGAAGACAAGAATCTCACCGGCACAGCACGCTATGCCAGCATCAACGCGCACCTGGGCATCGAGCAGAGGTAAGAGCTCACCACCCAGTAACTACAGTCATGTGCAATCTATTCCAGCCTTCGCTGGATATTCTCTTCTCACTCCTTATCATTTGCACGCTTTCAGCCGGAGTGATTGGATTCCTAGGGCTTAATATAGAGGTTCATGGGTCTTTTCCCCACTTTATTGGGATCATTTTTGGCATGAAGGAGCTTTTGATGTTCAGACTGTGTGTTCCTGCTGGGGCTGCAGACTGGCTCTAAGGACTTGTCCTCATGATGACCAAGATGCACTCATTGGTCAAGCTAGAATCTAGCATCCACCAACAGCTTGGTTGACCCATAATCCTAGCTTTGACAAACAAGGCAGTGTGATTTAGCCAGACAAGTCATGCGCCCATAGCTCTGTATTGAGCTGTACTGTAACAATGCAAGTCCAAGACTAGATGTTTTTATTTTATTTGTACTTTTCCTTTTGACATACAAGTATGGTATATTACAGCAACGTAAGCATGCAGTAATTTTCATAAAACCTTTGATACGTTGTGAGCATTGTCTTTCGTATTAAGATAGAATTCAACATAGCTGGAAATCCTTTTGTTCCCCTGTCTAAACAGGCTTTTTATGAATGCTCGTTTTCATGTCATTTGAAGCATTCAGTTGGGATATGAAAAACACAGCATGTGGCTGCTCCACTGAGCCGTGCTCCAAAAACAAAATGTGAAGTAGTAGAAAAGGATTGCCTACTGTTGAAACACCGGAACAGGATAGACATCCCACCCCCTGCTTGCACTTTACCAGTTAAATGCTGTGTCACTGGTCTGGAAGTTAGTGTACAGCTTAGCCATTACAAAGGGCCTTGAGATTAATGTCAAATGTGTTGCTGTTGAACCAACTGAGATGTTACCTTTTTACGTACTGAATGCCAAATGTCTCTGTATGTTTCCAGTCGCCGAGATGACATGGAGTCGCTAGGCTACGTCCTGATGTACTTCAACAGAACCAGCCTGCCCTGGCAGGGACTAAAGGTAGGCCAGGCAGGTACTCTAGGGCTCCCAGTCCACTATATAAGTGGTTCATATTTCACCAACTCGCTCGCCACAGCTTTTCATCCATGCTTCTGCTACTAGACTTTTCCCCCCCAAAAATAAAAATATAAAACTGATTTTCAGTTGTCTCCATAACAACTTGATTTCAGATTATTTAAAATGTTCATGACATATTCACATTTGCATATTTTATTTACTCTGTAGCTGAATTATATATATATATATTAATTATAGTTGTATTCTCTGACAACTTCTGGAATTAAATTGTTTAGTAACAGTACATAATATTCCTCGTACATTGCAGGATGTAAGCTAGTCTTAGTAGTAGATAACCCCTAACCTTCCATTCAAGTTGTAGTGTTACTTGAGGTCAGCTACTTCCCAAAGGTTAAGCTAGCTACCTTTTTTAAAATTAATTAATCCTGCAGAGATGTGGGGTGCCTCGAGTGTACTCAGTTTTATGCTTTTGTAAAGTCACCTAGACTTGCATTTGCAGCATAATGCACCTTCCCGCTTTCTAACGTTACGAGGGTTAAATAGGGAACACGAGAAATCTGTGCTGTGTGTTAATGTAATTACATGGAACAGTAGCCTGCAGTGCTTGAAACTCAAGTCCTCAACAAGGTGTTAGGTACATACCTACAGAACCAAGCCATTCTTCATATACATACAGCCCCAGTTGCCCAGCCTAGCAAGATAGACTAGGTCACAAAATACAACATTTATGTACACATATTTGTATTACTGAGAAAAACAAGAAACATCCTCAAATGTCCCAAACTAATACATTACATTTTGTTACATTGTTTATGGACCACTGACCTCACCGGCGGTGACAAACTGTGGTGTGATGAGAAATTGCAAAGGGTAGTGTTAAACTGTGGTGCACAACATTTTCATTTCTCGCCCACATGTTCCACAGGCTGCCACAAAGAAACAGAAGTACGAGAAGATTAGCGAGAAGAAGATGTCCACTCCAGTCGAGGTGTTGTGTAAGGTGAGTAAAACCGTAGAAGGATCAAAACCTGGCACGCCCACCCCGCGGACTGAGTTACTCGTATTTTTATTTGGGGTCACCGGGTCAGAAAGGTAGATGCATACTATGGAAGTCCTTGAGTAGCCGCATCAGCCAGTGAAGTACGAGTCTGGTTGAAGGAGTTCTTCTAAAGGCTGTCTCGTAGCGTACGAGAGTAGAGATGTTGGCTGGTGTCGCTAATCTAATCCAGTCTTTAAATAGTGGCTGTTATGTTTCCATCACCTTGGACCTGAAAGCATGGTGGCCATTGCTTATTATAAGACTAAGTAGCTGGCTGAGAGTGTGCTAAAGACAACGCCTTGCATTAAGCTGTGGAGTGACTTGTTACACACTGACTTTTTTCTTTCGGTAATTACCCTTATTTTACCAGAACACATCTCAGAGTAGTTTATTAGGCACTGACTGTCATGGTAAATAATGTACACATGACAGTAAGCCAGACAGTTGGGCATGGATCTATAGATAACCTTCCAACTCTCCTGCGGTTGTTTCCAGGGTTTCCCAGCAGAGTTCGCCATGTACCTGAACTACTGCCGTGGGCTGCGGTTCGAGGAGGCACCTGACTACATGTACCTGCGTCAGCTGTTCCGCATTCTCTTCAGGTGCTCGTCATTTCTCAACCTCTCCAACATGAACCTCTCTGTCCCCAAGGGAGCTGAAACGCTCACACACACCAAATCACATGTTTCTTTCTCACTGTCAGACCCACGGGGAAGAAAAACATGAATTGGTTGCATTGCATGTAAAGCATATGGAGTTCTTTAAGGTGTATGAGGAACAGACTGTACTAGACATTTCGTTATTAAGTGTTCTTTATGAAACAAAGTGAAAGGAGCAACTGCTATAGGCCTGTGTTTTTCATGTAGTCTCTTTCTGCTTTTATGTATGTTTAGGCTGAAAACAAGTTGTCCTTTGGGAGCAATAAAGAGTTATTGAAAATAGGAGAGCGCAGTGTGACTGCATGTCTGAAAGTGTCTGTTTTTGTCCAGGACCTTGAACCACCAGTACGACTACACATTTGACTGGACGATGCTGAAGCAGAAAGCAGCCCAGCAGGCTGCGTCCTCAGGGGGACAGGGGCAACCGGCACAAACCCCCACAGGCAAGCAAACTGACAAACCCAAGAGTAACATGAAAGGTTAGTAGCAAAAAGCCAAGCGACGTTTGGAGTGCAAAAATGGAGACGCCAATTGCTTTCATTTTCGTTCCCCTTTCAAAGTGGTAAAAAAAAAAAAAAAAAGTGGATTTGGAACATTCTCTCCCAGCGGGTTAATGAGACCACAAACAACACAACAGTGTTAGTTCGAGGAGGCCCCTGAAAGATAGAGAATTCAATTGGTCTGTCTTGCAGATGCAAAGACGTCCTTGGGAAATTTGACTACTAACTTTGTACCCAAATGTATTTTCTTCTCTGGGACAAAGGGTTGTGGCTTTATAATCTTCTGTGGATGTTAAAATCATAGTGATTTCCCTCTTTTGAATTAACCTCTTCTCTAAATGGGATGTACGATTGACTCTTGATTTCTCGCAATCATTGTTCAAGGATCTAACACTTGTTAATCTTTATTGTAATGCTCTCAGATACAGTACTTGGATGAGTGGGATTGAGATTCTAACCACAGACTAACAATGGTCCAATGGTAATACATGGCTACCTGTTTTCATGTGTATTTTAGTGCTCATGTGATGTGACTCTTGAATGACCTCTTTTAATTCCAGTCTCTCCCCTCCCTCTCGTAGAGGGTATCCCGGGTGCCCAGGGTTGATGGCAGAGGAGTCAACCCAATTTTTCAAAAAACCTGAAGCAGTTTTCATCAGGTGATGACTAGGATTTCCACAGGGATGAGGCAATAGCCCATTTAGGTGTGTAATCTCTGGCATGAAACTGCAGAGCAGCCTTCCACTTGACCTGTATTGGTAGTAAAAGGCACGTTTACACCAAGTCAATGCCCACCCCCTTTTACTTAAAACCACCATAGAGGTGTTATTTTATTTGTCCCCACCCCAAATTAAAGAGCGACTGCCCCTAAAATGCAACTTCTCATTTTGAAAATGTCCTATGTGACATCGATATGAGTCAAACATTTATTATAGTGTCAAAATTCACTACAAAGTGTAAATAGGATAATTTTGGTCTTAGTCAGTCACGTCCAAAATTGAGATTTGAGAGACGATAGGAAAAAATTGTATGTCACGGAATGAAGGGTACCTTAACATTTTCCATGGGTTAGGTTTATTTTAATCCTGCCCACAGCTGGCAGCATCCAAATTTCAATGACTGTCGTAGCCGGCCGCGACCGGGAGACCCATGGGGCGGCGCACAATTGGCCCAGCGTCGTCCAGGGTAGGGGAGGGAATGGCCGGCAGGGATGTAGCTCAGTTGGTAGAGCATGGCGTTTGCAACGCCAGGGTTGTGGGTTTGATTCCCACGGGGGGCCAGTATGAAAAATAAAAAAAATAATGTATGCACTCACTAACTGTAAGTCGCTCTTAATAAGAGCGTCTGCTAAATGACTAAAATGTAAATTAAATGTACTTAAAAACCTCAAACCAACTATAAGAAAGAACTGTAGAAATTCATATACAAATATTGAAAGCATTTAATGAGAACTAAAAGATGTGCAACATGAAAATATTGTAAAATTTTGCATTGTGTAACTATCCCCAGAGATGGGCTATCCAAAGTTAAACCAACTTTGCAATGGTGGCACACCAGCAGGCTGAAGCTAATTGGCTAAATAAATTGGCTAACTCTAACCACCTGCGACCACCCACATGAAACCCCACTCCGAAACCAACTCACGTTTGAATTCATTCATGGCTGCCAGCATTTCTTAATGAACCAAATCTAAAATGAGGCCAAATCAGGAAGTGCAGTTGCCCTTTAAACCATGTCACATTGGCCCAGAACTCACTGCTCCACACACGTGTTTATACACACAGTGCATGGAGGACTCAAATGAAGCCCTCCCTCCCGCGTGTATTAGTCCATATGTGCCAGCCTGGTTCCAACGTCTTAGGCAGGGCTGAATTAAATCCTCAATACACAATGGGAATCATCTGAGCTATGTGGATTAAGTATTTATTATTAGACCAAAATGTTTTGGGTTTGAGTGCAGGTTGATTTGAAGAGAAAAAAGGCCCATGTAAGTGAAGTGACATGGATGGTACCCCTGAGAGTGTATCAGTCCTGCTCTTCCCTAGCACGCCAGCCCCTCTGACAGCGGCGTGGTTATTCTGCTGCTCAACCATTTTGTGTGACATATTGTTGGTTAAATCCTGCCCCGAACAGGGCTTCCTGTATCTTATGTTTGCTGCGGGTTATATATATTTTTTTGTATGAGATGTTTTCTCTCGATGATGTCAGGCAAATAATTTTCAGCCCCTCTGTCGGCACGACTTATCACAGTGCTGTGTCTCCGCTCTGCCGAGAAGAAGAGCTTTGAAATCCGTTAAATATGAATAGGAAATCAAAGCACGAAGACACTCTCTCCGCCCCTCTCTCTCCTTCTCTACCCCCTTCTCTTTCAAGGCACATCCCACGTGATGGCACTGAACAAGTGCTGTGAAGAGGGGCTAGTTATAAATATGATTTGCTGATGACGTGATATTGGTCTAATCCTTTGTGTACAAGGTCTCTGTTTTAGTATGTGGACTCCATGCACACAGTAGCCTGCAGCACGGTTGAGCGCTGCTTATGTGCCTTCCCTGCAGCTTCGAGAGATGGAAGTTTTTTCTCTGGAACTGATTCAAAAATGACCTTTGTAAATGGACCCCCTGCTCACAAGCAAAGCCCAATTTTTTTCCCTCTTTCGTTCATGTTTTAGTTTTGAAGATGTATAGAAAAGGACATGTTCTTTTTAGGTCTGGTGTTTAGTGTTCTCTGCTGTCCATTTAAGATAATACTGCCAGTGAAGGTGCTGAGTACCCACAGCCAATCATTTAAATAGCCAAGCTCTGGCTTATTGAAGCTTGAAAGAACTTGCTGGTTTCTTGGATACCAGTTTGACTTGGCCACGCTTAGCCTTGTAACAATGGAAACATTGTTAATGAGAGTTTGCGTTTCAGCCCTCCTGTTTTTCCCAATGGCCTCGTATTATATGATATTTGTTTAGAGCAAGCCACGTTGACATAATCAGACAAACACAAGTAGCCATCGCTCAAAGCAAACTCCATTAACCCTGCCTGTATTCTCCGAAACATTTTGATGATCACGTGGTCTTTAGTGTCTGTAAGGCCTAAATGTCATCGCCATGTTGCTGTAAAGTCTCCTAAAGGATATTTGCTATATTAGAAGAGGCTTGATCTATAAATAGCTTGCATATGGAGAACTGAGTTGCCCTTTCACCCCTGTGAGACTTGTCTGTTACATCAGCTGGCCCCTCCACTCATCCCTGCAGAAAAAATTACCACAGAGGGTACCGCTGTAGCAGGAGGTGACTTGTGAGAGCTTGTCAAAAATGCTTCTCATATCACTCAGATCTGATGAGATCATGTCCTGACTTGAGCTGCGCTCATTTAAACCCACTGGATGAGGCTCGGAATGCATCATCAATGGGTGAAGGCTTGCTTGAGGAAGACAAGATTGTAGGAGCCCATAAGAAAGCTTGAGGAATCCTCACACGTCTTTTAGGATTACCCAATCATGTTGTGCCCAAGTTTCTCTCCTGTGGATTGGCACCTCTAAAGGCCAACTGCCACATCACTGATCTGCATGGGTGTGGCCATGGGGAGGGATTGCATGTCAATGAGTAATGGCTGTCTGTAAAGGTTACCTTCCACTGCAGAGAAGCATGAAGGAAGTTTGGCTCACACAAGCAGGCCATATCCCTATTTGTCTTTTAAAAGTGTTTTGTTTGATCTCTCGGTTGAACGTCGCCCTTTCAAATAGGTTTATTGATAAGCCGCATTGTTTCCTTCATGAGCGTTTCACTAGTGTCTTTCTGTCTGTACCCACTCCCCAGTACACTACACAGCTGCTGTTGTCTCCAGTGCTAGTTGTGAACCTCTTAAGCAGTGGTTAATGTCTTCATTACAGGAGGCTCAGAGTAAAGGCTCCATAAATGTTTGATTCCCCCCTCTCAGGCACTCTGCAGCAGCGGGTCCCAGCTTTGCTGCAGAGCGAGACTGGTGACTGGGCACTTTTTTTGTTACAGGGATGGAAAACTGCAGTGACTTACTTGGCCTTGTTGATAGCAGTCGCTCAACCCTGTTTGATAAAGACAACCTGTTCTACTTGATGTGTAACCTATGGCCTCTCTCTGTCTCTTTGTGGCTCTTTGTTTCTCTTGCAGGTTTCTGAGCAGTAAGACAATGAAATGAAGCAGAGCAGAGTGGCCGTAGCAGGATTTGCCTTCCAATCACACCCCGGCATCCAGGATCAAATTCACCAGAACCTGCCAGGCATTGTGGGCAACCCTTTTTTCCTGTTAAAGAACTTTCCTTCCATATACTATATATGTAATCGCTCTATATAGATAACATGCTCTGCATATATCTATATATTGGTATGTATATACTATATCCACACAGGAAGCAGGCTTGGTATGGAATCTTCCGAAGCTGTATCCTTTGTCCTGTCCCTGAAGATTTTTTGTGTTTCTTCAAAACGGAAAACTAAGAAATGGTTGGCTCACTGCGGATGTAATTGTGCACCTGCCAATACTTTTCCCTTGATACTTTCTCCCTCTGAGAGCTGCTGTTTGGGGGCCTCCCTCACCTCATGGCTGCCTGTCAGAGCAGCTTTGCCCCCATTCCCTCTGTCACCGAGCGTGGCATGACGACCCAGACAGTCAGTCAGATTGAACATTTGAAACAACCATTATCTCTTCCTTATTCAACTTTTTTCCCCTCATTCTCAAGCAAAATGAAAGATGTAAACTGAAACAGTTTCCTTTATGAATGAATCCTGGGTATTTACTAAAGCAAACATTGGATTTATTTTGTTTTCATCAAAAAGGTAATTAAGATTCTGCCTGCTGATATGTGCTAGAAGAGCTTCTAATGTGAAGATGAAAACACTAGGTTTCTCTTTAGAACGCTGCATTAATATTGTACTTGGTATTCTGAAGTCTTGAACAATGAATAAAAAAGATGAACTCCACAAAAGCATATTCATTATAAATTAGGCACGACTTGACTAAACCTGTTTGTAAATTGCTTAGAAAAATTATGCATCAATTAAATTAATGGCCTCAATGTTCTGTTTTTGAGACCGACAAACGTGCTCACTCCACCCGCCCTTCCAGTTATATTTATATATATATATACTTTCAAAAAAAATCAGAACTTTTTTTCAGTTTTATAGAGTTGTCTTTCCCTGTATTGAATTGATCATTTTGGGGAAAGGGTGTTTTTGTTGCTTCTTCGTACGGGGAAGCAGATCCTGTTGTAAAATACTCTGGGACTTTCTCTCTGCAACTACATATTGCTGCTGCTTAGAGTAGCAACCGTTTCCTCATTTTCGTTTTTTTTATTGCAAAGAAAGTGTTGGAGGGTTTATTTTCTATATACTTTTGAGTCTTGTAAGGCAATAACCATTTGGATTTCTGTCAGCCTTTAGTCACAACAGATGCACCCCAGGGGCTGTTTGTCCCCCCCCTCCCCCACATTATTCCCCCTGACCCAGCATTAGCTATTTTACAGCTGGACATTCTATAAAAGTGTAATTTATTCCCTTTTAGCATGTCAGAATAAATTCTAATGACTTGTCAGAACCACTGTCCCAGTCTGTAATTTGAAGAACACACAGACTTCTGCCTTAGGCCTGGATGATGATAGCTGTTGGGGGGAAAAAACAAGTATTTTTTGCTTTCCATTTGCTTGTCTTTACACATTTACCTGTTGACTACCACACAACCCTAGTATTGTGAGCATTTGGAAACTTGAGACATCGGCAGGATTGGGGATAGATAAGGAAATACTTTTGTTCAAAGATATCACACTCAAAGATTGCTTGAGACAAAGGGACACATTTGTGGAAATGGTCTAAAAAGGTATTGCTATCTAGAAAATTCAATTCCTGTGAAATTATATTGTTGGGGTGGTGGGTAGTTGTAGGTGCTTGTGGTGGTGTTTTGAAAAAAAATCTTCCAGGATTTATATCTGTAAATATTAAAATGGCTTCAAATGGCTGTCGTGGAAAATCGTTTAATTATCTACACCTCATCAACTCAACTCGCCATAAAACTGGCCAAAACGAAGAAGAATCGGGCCTGGCAGCAAGTCTTCCGTATGAGACTCACTCTGCCTCAATATACACTGTGTGCACAATTATTAGGCAAGTTGTATGTTTGAGGATTAATTGTATTATTGAACAACTACAGTGTTCTCGGTCAATCCAAAATGTTAAGAAACCTAATACCTGAATATTTAAGAAAGAAAAAGTGAGGTTTTGGCTTTATTTGGAGAATATCTATGTGTGCACAATTATTGGGCAACTATTAGTGTGCACAATTATGCAACTAAATGAATAATTCCCCATCTCACTTGTTTATTTTCATCTGTTAAACGTGAGAATAATAAACAACTCAATTTACAAATAAACATTTGTGACATTTCACAAAATAAATCAGTGACCAATATAGCCACCCTTCTTTTCAATAACAGTCATAAGCCTTCCATCCCATGGAGTCTGTCAGTTTCTTGATCTGTTGACGATCAACTTTTTGTGCAGCAGCAACCACAGCCTCCTAGACACTGGTCAGAGAGGTGTCCTGTTTTCCTTCACTGTAAATCCACCGTTTAAGAAGGGACCACAAGTTCTCAATAGGGTTTAGGTCAGGTGAGGAAGGGGGCCATGTCATTATTCTTTCATCTTTAAGGCCTTTACTGGCTAGCCACGCAGTGAAGTACTTCGATGGAGCATTGTACTGCATAAAATCATGGTCTGCTTGAAAGATGCAGATTTTTCCCTGTACCACTGCTTGAAGAAAGTGTCTTCTAAAAACTGGCAGTAGGGTTGGGAGTTGAGTTTGAGTCCATCTTCAACCCGAAAAGGTCCAACTCGCTCATCTTTAATATTACCAGCCCATACCGGTACCGCACCTCCACCTTGCTGACGTCTGAGTCGAAGTGGAGCTCTGCCCGTTACTGATCCAGCCACGGGCCCATCCATCTGGTCCGTCAAGAGTCACTCATCTCATCATTCCATAAAACCTTTGAAAAATCTGTCATCAGATATTTCTTGGCCCAGTCTTGACGTTTCAACTTATATGTCTTGTTCAGTGGCGGTCGGGTTTCAGCCTTCCTTACCTTGGCCATGTCTCTGAGCACTCCAGATAGGTTGCAGTTCTGGAATATGACAGCACTGGAGGATAATGGGTTCCTGGTAGCTTCACGTTTGATTCTTCTCAAATCTTGGGCAGTTAATTTGCGTCGTTTTTTCTCAACACGGTTCTTGCGACCCTGTTGACTATTTGCAACAAAACGTTTGATGGTTCTGTGATCACACCCCAGTATCTTAGCAAAAGAGTGCTGCACAATTTGACTTTTCAGAATCTGTTAAATCTCTTTTTTGGCACATTTTGCCTGAGAAAAAGAAGCTGCCTAATAATTATACACTATTTGATATAGGTTGTTGATCTCCTTAGGCCACACCCTCCCTCATTACACAAATACACATCACCTGATATGCTTAAATCCAATAAGTGTTCCAGTTTATACAGCTTGGAGTTGGGAAATATGCATTATAATGATGATATGGTCAAAATACTGATTTGCCTAATAATTGTGCACACAGTGTACACTTGTAGGACAATGGTAGTAAGTGTCAAGGGTTAGTCGGACAACTGAGAAGGAATGTGAGAACTACACAATGGGTTTAGGGGCAAAGTGCAATGCAACAGAAGGTATGCCCCCCCCCCCCACACCAGACTGCTTAGAGAAATGCTGCTAGGCCTGGATGGAGTGGGGGATGGGAGGGTTTTTAGACCAAGAGAGAAAGAGGTCTATGAGACGTCATTCTTCAGGCTTGGAAGACACAACAGCACAAGGGTTGCGGCAGGGTGAATTAGGCCTGGTTGTCCTTTTATCCATTGTGAGGTCAACACATGCGGAAAGCAGCTGTTTGCAGAGAAAGAGAGGCCCCAGACAGCCCTCTGGCCCGACAAAACGGGCCAAAGGGATGACCCTGTCTGGAGAGAGTTAAAAAATGTATGCCAGTATGTGAGCTAGGTAAATAGAAAGAGTAGGTCAAACTCGAATCTCACAATTTGTCATTGTTGACCTTTTTAAAGGTAAGATATCATCCGCCATTTCAAACTGTTCAATTCAACCATTATTGACCCACGGCAGCACTCACCAGTGTCTTGGAAAGGAGAGTATTCATAAGAAAGAAAAGAAAACAGCTGATTAACCAATCCATCTCAGTAATAGAGGATTTATATAACTGCCCCAGTGTCTCCTCTTCATAAAAGGCTCCGAGCAGAGGAGTGGCCTCAACGTGATGTAGGCAGATCGAGTGGTGGGGTGGTATCACATGCTGATCTGGCTCCCCTCTTTCCCTCTCCTCCCTGCTAGGGTTTTGTCTAGATGGGATACAGTTTATGTCAAAATTGTCTTTTCGTAGCAGGCTAGGAGAATTAGGTTAAGGTTAGCTAAAATGCAAAAAAACTACTGTTGACGTCAAAACTGTATCCCTTCTAGACATGACTGCCTGCTAGAGTTGCTACTGCGGCATAATGTAATACCTATGCCATACTAACTAAACCCTAGCTCTCTCTCTCTGGCCTTGTCCTCCGTTATACCTTTGCTCCCTCTACAAACCAGGCAGGCACTACCCACAAAACAAAGAATTTCAGCTGCATGTGGGCACTAGAAAGTGGAATTAGAGAACTGTTGAATAATGCTGGGAGGTGCTAGAGAGGGCAGGGTCCATTGTACTACAGTGTGAGGTGGTGAAGCCTGGTTGCTGGGTTTTGTCTAGAAGGGATACAGCTTTTGAGAATTTACGCAGCAGGTTAGGAGAATTAACATAGCAGATTAGGAGAATTAGGTTAAGGTTAGGAAAAGGGTTAGGATTAGCTAAAATGCAAAAAACTACTTTTGACATCAATTTTACAAAAGCTGTAGGGGAGAGTGGGGTAAATTGAGTCCTTTTTTACATTCAGCATCACTCCATCAGGTGAAA